GCGGGACGTAAAGCTTTATCCCATGGTTGCAAGGAGGATATAGATCGAATATCACATGATGATATATTTGATATGTGGATCAAGATATCATATTTTAGCAAACAATTTACAAACCATCGAATATCACTTTTAAACTATCGAATATCACATCTTAAATAGAGGATATCCTATGATTTATGAGTGATATGATTTTTATCCACAAATGGATATGATATCTGCACGAGTGAGCGTAGCGAGAGAGTGCAGATATCAACACCCATGAGTGGATTAAAATCATATCACGAGTAAATCATAGGATGTTCTTTATATTCCATAGTTAAAGTCATCATCATAATCGTCGGGAATTAAGTGATTTAAAACGTATTTTCCAAACGATACGGCGATATTGACACTTAGCCTCGTTTTGAGTCTGAAGTAGCAAAAATCCATAAACCATGGCATACGGCGCCGTATGTCATGGCTAAAACACCGTATGCTATGGTTAAGTGAAAATTTGCCAAAAATATCATATTTTACCACTGATTTCAAAAATACCGTTTTTATTTTGACATGTTATCCTATGGATATCATGCTAACTATGGAATAATGTAGGAATATCCTATGGCTCTGAAAAAATATCACTTATATCCATGAGTGGATATTGATATCTTCGCGAGTGAGCGCAGCGAATGAGTGAAGATACTGATATCCATGAGTGGATATAAGTGATATTTTTGAAAAACCATAGGATTGTCCGTTTATCCCATTGGGAATTATTATCCAGTGAACATTGAATAGTCAGATAAATTGCAATGGAAATTCCATTTCGTCTGACATTTTGATTGCGATAATTCAACGAACGTCATATACGTGACGTAACAGAGTGGTGTGTATTCAATGCGAACGCCGTAAAAACAAGATCCCAAAAAATAAAAATATATAATAAATATATAAACAATCGTTTTGCTGAATTAATAAAAAAAATTGAAAAATATCAAAACCATCGAATATCACCTTTGAAACCATCGAATATCACTTTTGAAACCATCGAATATCACCTTTCAATAAGTGATATTCGATGGTTTCAAAAGTGATATTCGATGATTTGGGAATTGTTTGCTAAAATATGATATCTTCATCCACGTATCAATTATATCTTCACGTGATATTCGATATATATCCTTGTAACCATGGGATAAATAATGGTTATGTACTGGGAGGTTTTGGATATGGGGTTTTTCCAGAGGGAGATATGCATATCTACCTGAGGGACCGTAGGGACAGAAAGTAGATGTGCATATCTCACGAGGGATGAACCCAATATCCAAACCGACCGTACATAACTGCTTTATCCTATACCAAGTAGGGTTTTCAGTAGTACAAGGTGTAAAAAATAAACAAATCATTCATATGCAAAGTCATTTTATTGCATTTCCACTTTTTTTGAAGCGGGAAGATACGCCCCGAAGCGGGAAGATATGCACCGAAGCGGGAGATATGACGGGAGATATGGAGGTTCTTGATATGGAAACCTCAAAATCAGGATACGGGATATATCTTACCAACTTATCTCCCTAAAACCCTACTTGGCATAGGATAAATCAAGATAATTTCTACTCGCATCTAGTCTATTCCACATGTTTGGGAAAAGTGTACAGGAAAATCTCCATGTTCAATTGATGTATGATCAATATATACGAATCGAATGTATTCTCGTGTGCATTACAATATCCACATTGAAACATTTTTGGCCTGCAATGGACGTATAATGAATTAGAATATGAGGCCGTGTTATCATTCTAATGTAAAGTCATGGTATTTACTGTGGTATTGGGTTGCAAGTTAATATCAGATTCAATGCAAATTAATCATCTAATATCAGATGCGCGATCAGTCCAATAATCTAATTTCAGGTCATCAGTTCGATATCTAGCACTTGTTCTAACGACACGGTATTACTAGGCTATCATATTATAAATACACACACATATAAAACAATCAAACTGGTACACGATATAAGCACGACTGCTCTTTCAATTGAGTATAAATGTTGATAAACTTTCCCGGAAGCCAAGACATACACGTTTAGACAGTTCAGTGTAAGAGTAAATGCCCGGATATCGAGGCTTTTTCGTGTAAAGTTTTAACCAAGCATCTAAAATCGGGTTATATTGCGTGTAGAATTTATCGATATCAGGGCCGCTACATGCCAGTGATAGTTATACATATTGCATATCATTTTGCAGCAGTGGAACTTAATAGTAAAATCCATTTTATCATTTATACCTGGTATTTCTGGTAATCCCATCATGATATAAAACCTTTCAGTTTCTGATCTCATGTAAAAGCATAGGCTTTCAACTAGAATTGAAAGCCCATGGTAAAAGTTATCATATGAGATTTAATGTCAAAGCTGGCATTGTTGCATAGACTAAGCTTATCGGATTTGATATGGGAACATTGTTCACTAATAATTTAACTAAGATATTACCACGCCAGTATTTGCCGCGTTTATACATATAACGAGTAATATCGTTGGGCTCGGTCCAATAATAATGTAACTCCTTCTGTGACTTAAAATTGGAACAGGGAGACAGTGGTCCTGTAAGTTAAGCCCGACTTCTTGAAGCATGTATACCAAAATTTGGAATGGGCATTAAACTAAGGTAGGTGATTTTGAACGAAATTATAAACACAGAGAGCGATACAAAAAGCAAAGCCAATTGTCTTATTTGTTGTTCCCTCTTCAAAAGAAAGACGCGAAAGATTTTCCTCAAGGTAAAAATATTTCCTAGAATTTTTTAAAGTACATTTGAACAAGAAAGGTATTTTAATGCAAGTTTACCAAACTGTATTTTGAATATATTTCATGTAAGTTTAGGACAGGAAATCATAAGCTTCCTATTGAGAGAGGTACGTATGAATAGATTTTGTGATTTATGTAAATCAGATAAGTTGGGAGATGAATACCAATTTATTATTGAATGTACATCTCTTCAGCATTGAAGAATTAAATTTTTGCCTGGATATTTCTGTAATAATGTTAATACATTGAAATCAACTAATGAGTACCAGGGAAAGAAAGTTGTAATTAAACTGGCACATTTTATAAAGGAGGCAAATGTTTTTATGACTAAGCATCATTAGTGGTAAATCATGTATTTATTAAAAAAGTGATTAGATATGGTGTAGAGATTGGTTGTTATTGTGTCGAAAATTTCAAAATTATGTTACTAATGTGATATAAGGTAGATAATATGAGGGTTTGTAATTTCATTCGACTTTCAACACTTTCATTCGAATCTTACCGGACTACTTTAGTGTTCATTGTACACGCTGTTCTTGATTATACTACGTATAAAGCGTGCGTGTGTAAAAGCAAAATTGCGTAATTAATTTGATTCAGAACTTTCGGGTCACACAAATAGCTACGCGAGATGTATCGTTGGAAAATATTGACCAATCAAAATTTGTACTTTTTGAGGGCATTTTAAGTACATATTTTCGTACCTTCTCGATTAAAGAGCGAACCACGAAAGGCTTAATTGGCTCATTTTTAAAACCCCAGTAACTAAAGCAATGAGTTTATAGGAAAAGTTCCCAACTGATCAAGAAGAGTTTTCCTTCTTTTAAGAGAATTGTCAAGACGCATCTTAAAAATAAAAATTTATCATTACCCACCTCTCCGTTAGAACCATCACGAAGGAGTGAAATATTTTTAAACCGCATTAGATGTAATTTTATTTTCTCTGGCCAGCTTTCTTACATAATTTTAGAGATGTAGAAAGTTTAGAAGGTTAAGGAAAATGTTCAACTCATTGTTACTAAACGGCCATATGAAGAAGCAGTCATATAGAAAACGTTTAAAATTCGAACGGATTTGTTCTGTATAGTAATTGCTGTGTCTAATGTCGTTTTAGTAAGGCTATTAAGAAGGACTTCTTCGATGTATGCCATGCCTCATTGTGGGATCCACAGCCTTTACTATCCTTTTTCTCTCAAAAGCGTTAGGTAAAGAGGGATTCTGATAAATCAGAATGGCCATGCCTGGCCAGGTTTGCATACGTCGGCTCGATTTTGGTTCCCATCGCCGTACCACGTATTTGTTTATATATCATTTTTTTTCTAAAATGAAATGAATTTTGCGCTTTGGGAAATGATTTTTTGGATAATGTATTCTGTTTTAAAGGAGTGGTATCGATATGGAGAACTTTCTGAACACACGTTTCTCTTAAACCAGTCATAAAAAATCTAAAAATTTAATGCATCGTCATTTTAATGGTAATCTTTTGAATTTTAACAATATACTTTGAAATATATATATATACTTTCAACTATATTGTTTTAGAAAACACATCAAACACTTGTTTTGTTCTTGGTATCATGTTTCCAGAGTGAAATGAAACATCTTTCCGAACCTCATTGGAACATCATTTACAATTGGTGGATAATTGCCACGATTCATGTAACGAATATCCGTCAATCCAATGTTCTAACAAACATATAAGTTAATAAATAGAAAATTGAATTTTACTTTATTGAAGCTCCTTCTTCGAAAATATTTGGACAATTCGGAGGTGCAAAAAATAAAGAAACCTTTTGGGAGCTAAGTCTGTCAAACCTATAGAGGGATGTATGATATTGAAAAAATATTGTATCCTTTTTAAAACAAATGTTATCTAAGAATATAAATTATAGAAAAAGTGACCATCCATACATTCATTTGTAATTGTCTGTTCGGCTAATAAGATGATCGGATCTAGCAGAGAAACCAATAATTTTTCAGCGGTTTGCCCCTCTTGATTTTTACCCTTTGCATTCGTTAGACTTCACTTCTCAAAAGAGAGCTTCGTCTGTAGTTTAACTAGACTCTGCACGCAGGGTACTTGATTTTATCAGAACCGCCCCCGTAGATTATAAGCAAGTAGGACATCTTCACTTTTTCAATTACAAAAGGACGAATAAATGAACCACAACAAACATCAAACATTGATGCATTCATATAGAAATAATTGGTTAAATCAAGCTTTTTGTTTAAATAAAAGAAAATCTTTACAATGTATTTTCCGAGAAACCATTTCCGCACTCTACTGTCTGAAGCACATTCTGGTTAATCTTTTATTATGATGTTTTCAGCCTGTCACATCCAAGCATACTTGAATAATATTCGGAACAATGAAGGTACCGTAAGGATAACTCACCCAAGGATACGCCTATTCAATTTTTACTTTGGCTACATGAAGGATATTAGTGGGGCTGTATGGAAAGTTAAATTGTACCAAAAATTATAACATACATCTGGTTCAACAGCTAGAAATAAAGATCAGAATGAAGAAAATTTTACTTCTAGTGCTACTAATTTTAGTGACCTGCCTATATATCTTCAACCTTTGGCAGACATTTGACACGGATACACATGTGGAGGTACCGAAACCATTGCAATATATCCAAGCAAAGGGCAACGGGAATCGAATACAAGAGAGAAGAAAATCATTGCACGAAAACTGTCGCAGACATACAAGATATTATAAGAATGATACTCGCCATCAAGAAAGAATATATAAGAGGGTGATCGTTAATGAACAATTCAAATTTCTCTTCTGTCCCGTTGCAAAGACTGGCAGTACATTTTTTAGAACAATGTTTAAGATACTCTACTATAATTTAACGGAGAAAAATCCATTTAAAATGCTTAAACATTCAGTCTGGGAAGAGCCCTTCCCAACGTTACTTGACTATAACAAAGTTGAACGAGCTAAAATACTGAGAACATACACAAAAGTCCTTTTCGTCAGGGACCCATTTAAAAGACTTTATTCTGCGTACCAAAGTAAATTTCGAGCTATAAATGTAGTCAATACAGGTAAATTAACGAAAGCAATTATGAAGGATGTTCGACAAAACCCCAACAAAAAATCGCTGGCCTGTGGCCTTGATTTAAAATTTGAAGAATTTCTAAGTTACGTAATAGCTTCTGAAAAGGATGATGTAGAAAACATGAACAATCATTGGATACCAACAGACGTCGTATGTGATCCGTGTATGATCGATTATAACATTATAGGGAAAATGGAGACAGTTTATGACGACATGCAGCACTTTTTGCGTACCATAGGTGCAGTAAATAAGATAGAGTTTCAAAAGCCCGAATCGTCAAGTTTAGAGAATCACAAAACTCTGCTTAAACTCGGAATTCGTTATTCCTTTATTCAATTGCCTAAGCTGATAAAGAAAAAGTGCATATCAGAAAAGGAATTCGGTATGAAGATTGTTCAGAACTTTGTAAGCCATGGCTACATAGAACCTTTAGATAGCGTCAAGCTTGATGAGTTGTCAAAAATACCATATGGGCTAAACGCTAAAGAAGAACTGGAAAGACTGATTTTGAACTATGTGGATAAAAGTAATAAAACTCGCTTATTGGCCCTCCCGGCAGAAGCTCAAAAAGCTGCATTTGCCAGTCTGCCAACAGATATACTATTACGACTTAAAATGGCCTTCTTAAACGACCTGAAATTGTTTAATTATGATAACAATTAAGAGATGTGGATTTTGTAAAGATCTTGACCTTTACCACTATAACTTTAATGGTTGTCATAAATCACTTTAAAGCTTTTCCAAAGTTACACTGATTTGCCAAATATCATGGTTCAACTCTCAGATGGGGAAAAATTACAGTCATTTTAAAATTTAGTATTTTCCAAAAAATAAGTTCAATTTTACGCCACATTACTAGTCAATGTGGCCTCCCTTGTCCATGTTAACAGCAGCAATTCTTTTCAGATATGACCTTAAAAGCCCTTCAAATAGGGGTGTGGAATTTTGTAAGTCTCTTAAAACCATTTAAGGCACTTTAGAAGAGTTTCCTTGGAGTATCTACGCTCACCATTCTCTTTTTCCAACTCAATATCCATCGAACCCAAAAGGAATTGCTGCTGTAAATATGGCTTGTAAGGTCAGTTAGTACATGTAGCAGATATATGTAGGCCCAGAGAATAAGTATAGTAAGATTGAAAACTGCATCATTGTTATTCAAGGTAGTGTCTTGCTTGTGTAAGGAAAGATGCACATGTACTTTTAACTAGATATTTGAAGATAGGTTGCAGAGTGATCTGTTGTTATTATTTGTAAGGCATCCACAGGTAGAGTGTTTGCATATATATAAGGTCAAGTTGGTGCATTGTTAATAAGATTGACAACTGTTTTTGGATTTATTACAGTATCTTTAAATTTGAAACAACATGTCTGATACAATTCTGTAGACCTTATTGTAAATATTCATCATTGTACATATTTCATATCATTTTAGTTTTATAATACAGTTACATAACATATATAATCAAATCATATTATTTTGTACTATCATTTATGGAGTAGGATAATTTGATAATCAGTAAGGTTAGAATTCATAACAACCAACACACTACCTAGTCTAGGCCATCAATACGCTACCATAGTATCTTAAACACCTTGTACTTTAATATTACATCACGGCTAGGAGAGTGTCACCCCCGGTTGTTACACCAACTTCACCAAAACCTTTCACTGATTCAAGAAACCAGCATTTTTACATTTTACATCGATGGTGCAAATGCCATGTCGTCAAGCACCCAATCACCCTAGTTCCCTTTTAATCTCTTATAGTGTATGAGGTAAGACACTTTGATTTGTTTTTACAATTTGAGAAACTTTTTCTATGGATGTAGACCAGTTGCAGGGTGACGTAGTGAAGTCTTTCCTGCATGCACCACAAACAGCAGGGCGACCATACATGTTCATTCCAAGTGACATTTACGGCATTCAATCATGCATCAGAAAAGTCCCTTTTAAAGATTTTAAATTTAAAGAGAGACTTTTTATTCAAAATCTTTTAACGGTATCTCTACTCGATTGTACGTTATCATGTGAAAGATATAAGAAAATTAAGATATTTCTGACTTATATAAGTCTGACGAAGCCAAATCATAAAAATCATCTGCACTGTGAATATGAAATTTTCTTTTGGTCTGCGGAGAGCATCATCGATGTCCCGATTTCATCACAAGGACATTTTCATGGCCACGTTCTTATTGTTATGCTTTGCTTCATTCGAGCTGAGTTAGGTCGCCAGAACGAATTTTTTTGTCAGACTCGATACTTTTTCATCGGTTTCTGATATCACCACAAAACTCTCAGCATAAACTCAATTCTTTCCTGTGATTTTCAGTTTTTCTTTGAAGTTCTGGAAGTTTCGGTGCAATGGGTTACCCCGTCTTTGTTTTAGAGAAAGAGATTATTGAAAGAATTAATCTCGCTTTGTTGGCTCCATTCTCGAAGGACTTGTTACATTATATTATTACTAAGAACCCCTGGCACTACATAACTGCAAAATTTGGTGTATGTAGGTTGAAAAAATTAAAAGTTGTAGTGTCTTGAAAAAAGTGGCGTTTTTTGGCCCACCCTGTATTAATATATATATTTTTTTTTCAATTACAAAAGGACGATTTAAGGTCGTGTATATATATGTTTTCGAATAAATAAACCATAAAAAGTAAACCAAAAACATTTTTCTTATGTAGATAGCGTAGAATCCATCAAACATTGATGCATTTATGAGGAACTAATTGGTTAGATCAAGCTTTTTGTTTAAATAAAAGAAAATCTTTACATTGTACTTTCCGAGAAAATATTTCTGATTCTACTCTCCAAAGCACATTCTGGTTAATCTTTTGTTATGAATTTTTCAGCCTGTCACATCCAAGCATACTTGAATAGTATCAGAACAATGAAGGTACTGAATGTACTGTAAGGATAACTCACCCAAGGATACGCCTATTCAATTTTTACTTTGGCTACATGAAGGATATTAGTGGGGCTGTATGGAAAGTTAAATTGTACCAAAAATTATCACATACATCTGGTTCAACAGCTAGAAATAAAGATCAGAATGAAGAAAATTTTACTCCTAGTGCTACTAATTTTAGTGACCTGCCTATATATCTTAAACATTTGGCAGACATTTGACACGGATACACATGTGGAGATACCGAAACCAATGCAGTATATCCAAGCAAAGGGCACCGGGAATCGAATACAAGAGAGAAGAAAATCATTGCAAGAAAACTGTCGCAGACATACCAGATATTATAAGAATGATACTCGACATCAAGAAAGAATATATAAGAGGCTGATCGTTAATAAACAATTCAAATTTCTCTTCTGTCCCGTTGAAAAGATTGGCAGTAAATTTTTTAGAACAATTTTTAAAATACTCTACTATAATATAACGGAGAAAAATCCATTTAAAACGCTTGAACATTCGGATCGTGAAACCCCAGTCTGGAAAGAGCCCTTCCCAACGTTACTTGACTATAACAAAATTGAACGAGCTAAAATACTGAGAACATACACAAAAGTCCTTTTCGTCAGGGACCCATTTAAAAGACTTTATTCTGCGTACCAAAGTAAATTTCGAGCTATAAATGTATTCAATACAGCTAAAATAACAAAAGCAATAATAAAGAATGTTCGACAAAACCCTAACGAAACATCGCTGGACTGTGGCCTTGATTTAAAATTTGAAGAATTTCTAAGTTACGTAATAGCTTCTGAAAAGGATGATGTAGAAAACATGAACGATCATTGGAGACCAATAGACGTCGTATGTGATCCGTGTATGATCGATTATAACATTATAGGGAAAATGGAGACAGTTTATGACGACATGCAGCACTTTTTGCGTACCATAGGTGCAGTAAATAAGATAGAGTTTCAAAAGCCCGAATCGTCAAGTTTAGAGAATCACAAAACTCTGCTTAAACTCGGAATTCGTTATTCCTTTATTCAATTGCCTAAGCTGATAAAGAAAAAGTGCATATCAGAAAAGGAATTCGGTATGAAGATTGTTCAGAACTTTGTAAGCCATGGCTACATAGAACCTTTAGATAGCGTCAAGCTTGATGAGTTGTCAAAAATACCATATGGGCCAAATGCTAAAGAAGAACTGGAAAGACTGATTTTGAACTATGTGGATAAAAGTAATAAAACTCGCTTATTGGCCCTCCCGGCAGAAGCTCAAAAAGCTGCATTTGCCAGTCTGCCAACAGATATAATATTAAGACTAAAAATGGCCTTCTTAAACGACCTAAAATTATTTAATTATGATAACAATTAAAGAGTTTATTGCACTGTATATCAATTTTATTTTCCTATCGAAATTATATAAAACGTGCTCCCCTGAATCAATATAGATGCTCCACAGGCGTAACAACCCCAAGACTTCACTATAATGTACGAATAAAGAAGTATAAAAATGCCCATCTGAATTTTGTTATATTTATTCTCCTTGGGAAGAGAGAAAATGGCCTTGAACCTAGATTGCACGCGCGATCTGAAGTAGGCCTACGTGCAATGTATTTCTGATGTACAAGAATAATCTAATTGTACATTCCGTATTGCACCAATCAATCGAAATATTGTAAAACAAGCATATTTCTAAATTGAGTAAAAGGAAGTGTTTTAAACAAAAATGATAATAATAATACTGTAGATTGGGTTAATTTGGCGCCCGCTTTAATTTGGCGAATTTGGCGAAAAAAATTCGCCAATATAAATCTTCGCCAAAATTTAGAATGAATCCCCAGGAATTATCTAGGGTATTTCGTCCAGTGTATCTAGGTCACTTCCGGTTTAGTTTTTTCCAAAAATAAGAAAAAATGTCTCATAAATTGGCTCAGAACTGGTCAGTCACTCATTAATACTCAGGGAAAACTAGAAAGGAAAAGCGCGGTATAGGAGCAGCATTATCTCGTTCCAAGACTATCTCTACGTTCTACAGCGGGTAAGTTTAACAATTTTTTTGCATATCCGCCAAATTAAATAGCCGCCAATATGCCAAAAATGGCAAAATTGCCAAATTAAGTAGCGCCAAATTAACCCAATCTACAGTATCAATATTGTAACGTTTTCCCCGTGGGTCAGGAATGCGGGGAAAATGCGGGGAAGGTGGACTCTCCCGCGTGTTACGTAATTGCGGGATTATACGGAGCGGCGTTGACTCCGCTCGCTACAGTTGCCTGAGATGTTACTCCAAGGGAATGCAAGGGGAAAGAAAGTATTACGCAATCTGGGTTTGCACTACACAAGTTCCCTCTGGAACTCACTACAATACAACAATGAACATTCAAGTACAGAATAAAAGTAAAGTTATATATTTGCTCTTTATGAGCCAAACAATGCTTTAGAAACAATAGAAAATTATGTACAAAGTCGAGCTCAAACTACCCTAAACTATATAATCACTAATGCCTTAAGGCAGAAAAACATGTGATGTCACTTGAATGTCGGCTTTGTATAAAAAACCTCCTACCCACGTACCCTCGTACCCACGTACGTGGGTCCTGACCCAGTCTTTAAAGAGTTAAATTTTTAAATGTTTAAAACATTATTCAATCTCAGTTTATCCTGAATTATAGATGAATTTATGCATCCATATGCCTTTATTTATAGGTCTGACATCTCTGTAGTAAAATAAAATAAAGCCGGAATTGCATAAATGTTCATTATTTTTTAGCTATTTGATTTATGTTTTTGATATGTCGAAATGTTTTTTGTTGATCGGGCAGTCTTACCTGTATAACACATCAGTGCTGATTAGCAATCTCCTAGCCTTCGTTCAGTGCAATCCGTGCCTCTTGTTACCTCATGCAGATTGTAAATGTCCCGGGAAGTTTACCCTTGTCCAAAAGTTGACATCTTTTTAAAAATATATTTCTTAGAGTTTCCAACCAATTAAATTCACCACATTTTATTAGATGCTTATTTCAAATGTTATTAGAATTCATTCTTACGAATATTATACGTTATTAACGTATGTTAGTCAAAGATTTGGTGTCGTTGTTGTCCATTGTATTCCCGGGATTGTATTCACGTTTTACGCGCAAAAAGCTAGAAACTACAAAGCTGAACTTTTATCATTCAAACCAGTTTTACATCAAATCATTGTCAAAGTAAAACTCTACTCTTCATATTACCTAATTATGGATCAAACGGCCATGAATAATGTCGAAGTTTACAAAACCAAACTTACACTCCCCTGCATAAGTTTGGCAACTCTAACTTTTAATTCCATCTAAATGATTCACTGAACTAGTGCGCACAATTATCCTTAAATTGTGCCAAAAAGCGATTAAAAACGAATATAGCGAATCCTTCTACTTTTCAAATATTTCGTTATTAGATTATTCATGTTATTTATCTAATTTTGTTGCATTCGTCTATTAGGCTTCCATTGCGGTGCAAGTAATTTCGATTTGCATTCTCCTGACTGGAGTACAAATGTAAGAAATGAGAGGAAGTAAATGTTTCCAAACCCTTTTCTTGCAACTTTGCAACTTTTCAAGTGTGAACACAAGAAGGCAACAGTCGGACACGACGGACAGTGCTACTTGAACGGCAGATCTGCATGAGCTTTTACTGTTTAGGTAAGTTATGTAGAACTTAAAGGTACGTATCACACTACCCTGCCCCTGCCCCCAAACTGTAGGCTAGCCTTTATTTCTTCAAAGGGTGCTGCAAAGAGGTTACAAACTGTGGAGAACGTTTGTTTATTTCCATAGTTCTGAAGGTACAAAACGTATACTAGATTTTAGCTACATATATTCCAAGTGTTCTTCCCTTGCATTACATAGATTCATCGAGCAGTTTGCAAGGTGGCAGAAAAGCCCCATGGATAACATTTGCAAATTCACTTCAGTCTGTAATTAATTTTAAGAAATACATGCTACAGTATGGCGGAGGACAGTGTTTTATAATGTGTTACCTTGTTTACTACGCCAGCATCATTAGTTGATGCCATGGTCACATTTGCCCCGATTTTCAGCACCGGCGCCCGGCCAATGAGTATTTTGTTCAAAAGTGAATTCAATTCTGAACGAAATACTCAATCGGCCGGGCGCCGTAGTGAAAATCGAAGCAAATGTGACCAAGGCATAAGCAACCCTATCCATTCATAATAGATCTGATTTTCCTAAGACCTGTAGATAAGGTAAAGGAGTTTGTTGTCCGGGTGCCCGCTATAAAAAACAGCTACTCCATAGTAAGATAGTGTTCCTAGTAAAATTAATGATGATTTGAACAAAGATGTATTGACTTCAGACGGGGCTACAGGTATGCATTATTGCCATTATTGACTTTATATGGGGATATCATAATATTCAAAGCCAGCATTGATATTTATTTGGCTGTCATTTTTGTGACCTTGTTAACAGAGAGACAGATGTCCGATCTAGAAATAAAGGCATATGGGTACATAAATTCATCCATAATTAAGCATACATTGAAATAGAATAATGTTTAAAAATGATAAAGATTTAACTCTTTAAAGACTGGGTCAGGACCCACGTACGTGGGTACGAGGGTACGTGGGTAGGAGGTTTTTTATACAAAGCCCTTGAATGTCTTTAAAGTTACTATAAGAAAGTAAGATCAAAAGAGGATATCACTTTGATAAGTTCCAGCAAAAGATAAAGGTTGATATCACTTGAATGTCTCTAAAGTCGCCACATAAAATAATCATGAACTCATATTAAACAATCACTATAACATTAGATGTCTTTGTTTGTGTCTTCTTCAGCAATTGTGGGATGCAGCTCTTGTCTTTGTATTCCGTTGTCTGTCCTGAAATAAAATGGCGCTCCTGGCCACGGGACCCCACTGTCTACTTATCAAGTTTATTAATGAACAACCTGGTGCAAATATTCTTAAAATCCGGAATCCAAGTTGCAATCGGGTGCAACGATCCTACTCAATGGGTGCAAAAGCCCTTATATCTCTTGATCATAGGTGCAATGTTTCTGTGTGCCCCTGTTCCTAACCAGGGTGCAATTCCTCTATATGCCCTTGTTCCTTAACCAAGGTGCATCTTGCCCCTGTTCCTTAACCAGGGTGCAAGTCCTATATGTGCCCTTGTTCCTTAACCAAGGTGCACCTTGCCCCTGTCCCTTAACCAGGGTGCAAGTCCTTTATATACCCTTATTAAACTTTGCACCTATGTCCAGTTTGCAATTCCCTTATATGCCCTTGTTCCTAACCAAGGTGCATCTTGCCCCTGTTCCTTAACCAGGGTGCAAGTCCTCTATATTCCATTATCCAAGTTGCAATCAGGTGCAAACGTCCTTAAAGCCTTTATCCAAGTTATAATCACGTGCAAATGTCCTTAAATTCTTTATCCAAGTTGCAATCAGGTGCAAATGTGCTTAAATCCTTAATCCGAGGTGCAACCTGGTGCAAATGTCCTTATGGGGTGCAACCTGGTGCAAATGTCCTTAAATCCTAAATCCGAGGTGCAACCTGGTGCAAATGTCCTTAAATCCTTAATCCGAGGTGCAAATGTCCTTAAATCCTTAATCCGAGGTGCAACCGGGTGCAAATGTCCTTAAATCCTTAATCCGAGGTGCAACCGGGTGCAAATGTCCTTATGGGGTGCAACCTGGTGCAAGTATCCTTAAATCCTTAATCCGAGATGCAACCGGGTGCAAATGTCCTTATGGGGTGCAACCTAGTGCAAGTATCCTTAAATCCTTAATCCGAGGTGCAAATGTCCTTAAATCCTTAATCCGAGGTGCAAATGTCCTTAAATCCTTAATCCGAGGTGCAACCGGGTGCAAATGTCCTTATGGGGTGCAACCTGGTGCAAGTATCCTTTAATCCTTAATCCGAGATGCAACCGGGTGCAAATGTCCTTATGGGGTGCAACCTGGTGCAAGTATCCTTAAATCCTTAATCCGAGGTGCAAATGTCCTTAAATCCTTAATCCGAGGTGCAACCGAGTGCAAATGTCCTTATGGGGTGCAACCTGGTGCAAGTATCCTTAAATCCTGAATCCGAGGTGCAACCGGGTGCAAATGTCCTTATGGGGTGCAACCTGGTGCAAATATCCACTATGGGTGCAATCGGGTGCAAATATACGCTATGGATGCAACCGGGTGCAAATATTCTTAATCATAGGTGCAATGTCTCTGTGTGCCCCTGTTCCTAACCAGGGTGCAATTCCTCTATATGCCCTTGTTCCTTAACCAAGGTGCATCTTGCCCCTGTTCCTTAACCAGGGTGCAAGTCCTTTTATGTGCCCTTGTTCCTTAACCAAGGTGCACCTTGCCCCTGTCCCTTAACCAGGGTGCAAGTCCTTTATATCTCTTATTATACTTTGCACCTATGTCCAGGTTGCAATCATGGGTACAAATGCCCCTTGCACCAATATGGGGTTGCAAGTTAGGTGCAACTCTCCCAAATATCCTTCACACCTATTCAAGGTGGTTGATATGGGTGCAAATGTTCCTTGCACCGATATGGGGTTGCAAAGTTGGTTGCAACTCTCCCAAATATCCTTCACACCTATTCCAGATGGTTATTATGGATGCAAATATTCCTTGCACCAATATGGGGTTGCAAATTGGGTTGCAACTCTCCCAAAAGTCCTTCACACCTACTCCAGGTGGTTATA